CTATTTCTTTCTCTGAGGATTGTTCTGCAATAATACATCTGTTCTTGTCGACTATCACCATCCATAATTCCGAGGTGTCGTGTGTTTTATGTCCATTCTCAGGTAATAACGGATTTTTGTGAGGAAATCTACAAGTCCGCACGTGAGACAAAAGTCTCGGTATGATGGGCGCTCAGAGCGTGTCTTTTGGGAGACTTATTTTTTGACCTATAGGCAAGAGAACCCATATCCCCTCCTCATATTTTTAAGAATCGGACATTAATACCTTTGATTTTTATTCCTTAGGGCCTCAAGACTATATTTTTTTCCGGGTTTCCATTTTTTGATTTCTCCCTAACAGATTATTTTTTGGGGTAATTAAACAGGTCCTTACGCGAATGCTTTACTCCATTTTTTTAGCTTTCCCCATTTCGGTTTTGCAGTTTTAGACCCTTTTATTTTCCCCTATGTGGAAATGGTGAAATAGATTTTTTATTTTTGGGAGGTTTTGTTTTGAGACTGTCAAAGAAATTTGGGGATATTTAAATAAAAACCAGGGTAGACCGTTTGTAAAAATGGGAATTACTTTATATATTCTGATCTACAGTGGGCTTATTGCCAAAATACAATGATTAAGAGAGTCCTTTAAATTTTAACACTAAATTGGACAAAGGTATATCAATTGCTAGATTTCCAAAATCAAAAGTAATAATCCGTTTTACTGTCTTCCAAATGCAGAACAATTAATATTATGCAATGAGGTCATAGTGTCTAAGGTCGAATTAACCATTAATGCAATTTCGTCTGTAATTTCGATAGGCATGGAAATTAAACTGCTACCAGAATCTAACAGAGCTGGTACCTTTTCCTTGATTAAACCAATACTTTTTCCACCATTAATCTTACCATATAATTGTTGTAAAGTTATCGTAAATGTACAAGGTTCGTTAATTAACTTGGGATAAATATTTACCAATGGGAATGTCACTAGATCACCAGAAAATTTCGAGTAATCAATACCACCAAACAACACTGTTCCAGATGCATCATTTGAGTTATTTAAAAACAATGAAAATGCATTGGTGTTAGTTATTTCTTGATCCTTTAGATATGCCGGTAAATTATAATAAAGTTTGTTTGGTGACCCATCATAGCCATCAATAGATTCTGTTCTTAAAAATCCCAGACCAAGAACTCCACTTATTATTGTGGAAGCATTATTAGATATACCAAACTGAACACTCTGTAAATCATATGGTCCTATTGTAAGAGTATCTGTTATCCACTCGCCATCTGCAAATGAACCATCCCCGTATTGTATGAAAAGTCTATGATCCAATTTATTAGATGTGGATGACTTATCCCTTGTATAAGTGCCAAATTTTGTACAATTGATAGAATGGTTTATGTTGGTATTTTTTCCATCTTCGTAGCAATAAATATTATTTGGACTTGAGACCCATAAGTCAGATGAACCAGTGTCGACTAATACTGTCACATTTTGTACAGGATTTCCGAAACTTAATAATGTAGAATAAAACTGACCGTAATGATATTGAATATCTAGTTCCAAATAGTTATGATTATCATAAGATCTTGAATAATGAACATTGTTATTACTGCTACGAAAATTATTTTCAGAAGATATAATTGGAATGGAAATTGCCAATCTGTGAAGAAATGCAAGTATTAAAATCAAAGTATATATTTTTGACAATCTATTGAACATTTTTATTGACTTCTTTTGCTTGAACCACCCAAAAAATAAAATATATTATTTTCTAACAGACGTCAATTTTATTTTCATTTAATGTGTTAAATTTCCAAGTGCTATATATAATGATTGATTGTCTATCGTCTCAAATAAACAACCACTAGTTCCAACTGCTCCCTATCCTATCAATCAACCCCATCCTTTTTATGTCTCAAATCCAATCATCTGTAGTATATCACTGTCTCTTCATGTCTGACAGCTTTAAGTCTGTTTGAGATCTGTGTAAAGTTCCTAATCAGGAAGTTTACATGCTGGAATTCGGAGAATGTAGAATATATACATAACCAGAGATTTGTCTATAATACTAAGAATATTAAATGATACAACTCTGTAACAGGGTTATTTCTTGATATATAAATAATTGTACGTTTATTCTCATTACATGATTACTATTTATTATAAAAGTGAATCTAATTTAGATAATTGGCCTTGGATCAATTTAATTGCACTTTTTCTGCTTTGCTTCAATTGTGCTCTTCTCTCACCTTCGACATCAACTAGATCGATACCATCTAATTCTATCATTAGCTTTAATAACATTTCATTTAAAAAGTTTCTTTGATAAACTTCGGATTCATTTGATTTATCAAATGATTCACATAATTTTAAAATTCCATCTTTATATTCCTTATTATATTTATTAATAACATTTTGAATTCTTTCCTCATATGTTTGTGGAGCTGCTTGAACTGGGGAAGTCTTTTTAGCCTTCTTCTTTTTGCTAGACTTTTTGCTAGATTTAGGTTGAGATGAGTATCCCCAAACTATTGCTGCAATCAATGTTGCAGCTGCACCTGTTAGACATAGAGTAAACAAGAAGTTGCTTTCATCTACTATATCATGACCTACATATGGTCTAAACGCATTATTAATGCAATCAGTTATGGAATTCATAATGGTATTGGTGTATTCTGTCTTTACTTTAAGCTAACAACTTATCCCACCTTGATGATTCTCATCACTTTTTTATAGAAAATCTTGAAACATTTTCGTTGTCTAATTTTTTTTAGTAGCTTTACGAAATCGTACTCTCCACAGATGATACAGACAAAACAAGTCGAAACCTTTTGTATAAAAAAATGATTACTTAATATTTAATCCTTGTTTCTATATGTGTATCAAAACATTGATTTCATTTTCATGAACTATATAAGTGTTTCTGTTATTGTAGATAATGTATACACTTCATTGCATTACGCTAACAACTGACGTACCGTCTTGAAATCTAGTTCTGAAAACTCTATTAGCATTAGTAAACATACCTTCTTTCAATGATACCACTATAAATTGCGAACCCTTAAATCTTGTTTTGATTAAATGTCCAATATTCTGTGTATGACTTAAATCTAAAGCTGCATCAACTTCATCTAAGATGTACATTGGAGCTGGCCTAAATTGAAGCAATGCCATTATTAGGGATAATGCGATTAATGAACGTTGACCTCCAGATAACTCTACTAGACTTTCTTTCCAGATACTACCAAGTTTAACCTTAACTTCAAGACCTTCTGTAACATCTTTGCCTTCAGAAGGAACTAGCTTAGCAAAAGAGTTTGGTAATAAATCAGCAAAAATATTCCCAAAATCTTCATTAACTTTTGTCCAAGTTTTTATCAAGGTGTCTCTCTTATACTCATTCAATTTCTCAATAGTCTCTTGAATCTTAACTTTATCCCTTTCAATAGTTTTGATCATTGTTTTTAATGCTGTTTCCTTTTTTTCCACATTTTCAATCATAGCCATAATATTAGGATTTACTTTTCTTTTCATATCATTAAATCTTCCAAGCAATTGCTCATTTCTTTCTCTATAACTTTCAATATCAATACCCTTATTTTGTTTAATAATTCCAGCAACAAATGTTTCGTCACTTAGCCATTCATTCTCGTCTGCTAATTGCTTAATCTTTTCATTAATACCAGATGTGCTATTCTTGAACTTTGTTAAGTCATGAGTCAGCTTTTGCAATTCTAATTCACTATTGGATTTGATTTCGCTTTTTGATTTGATAATATTCGCCAGATCTGCAGCTTCTTCATCGATATCTAATAATCTCTTCTTTTCTTCAGATAGTTGGTCTTGCACCAGTTGGAGTTCATTTTCGATTTCCTTTAGTTGAGTTGAAATTGTTTCCAGTTCTTCTTCCAACGATTTCTTAGAAACAGAAGTTTGTTCAATATAGTGTTCATCAGCTTGAATTTCATTTGAAAGTTGTTCTGTTTCTAATTGCAAATTTTGAAAGAGATCGCTCTTCGATTCAGCTATAACTTCCTGGTTTTCAATCTGTTTCCCTAAGGATTCTAATTCATTTTTTAATTCCTTTAATTTAGAGCCTTTATCTTTGCTAAATTCCTTCATATCTCTCTCAATTTGTTTAATTTCATTTCCGAATTTCAGAACTAATTCATTATTTGTTGTGATTTCGTTGTTGCACACTGCCAATTCCTGGTAGATCTCTTCATTTCTTTTCATCACTTGCGTGGAAGAATTCGAATCAAGATTTCTTTGTGCCAATCGAAGTTTATGCTTTAAAAGATTGTACTCATTTTGCAGTACACGCGTTCCTTCGTAGACTCTCTCCAAAGCTACTAATCTTTCTTGGATCACACTTAACTCTTCTTGAAGTACATATGTCTGTTTACTGGCCTCGTTGTATTTTTGTATATCAACCAATAAAGAACTATTCATGTTTCTACTGCCACCAGAAAGGGTACCCTCAGGATCATAAACATCACCTTGTAAAGTAATACTCCTAGTACGAACTTGTGGGTGAAAAGTAACCTTCTTTGCGGTTTCTGCATCCTTACAGATCAAGCTACTTCCAAAAATAAATTCCATTGCCTTGGCCACATCTTCTTCGTAACCTATTAAATTCAGCGCTAATTCTACATTACCTGGAGAAATTTCTTTTGCTATATTCAATGTCTTATCATTTAATTTTCTTGCCATTATTTTATTTAATGGAATGATAGTCACTCTCTTACGCAAGCGTCCTCTTTGAAGCAATTGAGATGCTGTTTTCTCATTATCAACAACCACATTATACAGTCTACCTCCGGCACATACCTGAAGCGCAGTTGCACTAGAGTAATTATTTTCATTCAGATGAAATAGACGTGCAGCAACACCTTTAACAGATTGTTCTTGAAAATCTCCAGTTGGCTTGGTGTATGTAAAGTCAATATTGGCAACTTTTCTTTTTAAATATTCATTTTCTCTTTCAATTTTGTTCAATTGCTGTTCGATAGCGATCTTCTTTTGTTTGAGTTCTTTTACAGTTTCTGCATCATAACCATGTTCTTTAATTTTTAATTGAATTTGAGAACATTGTTCCTCATATTGTTTAATTTGTTTCAAACTTATCTCAAGATCTTTCTTAGCAGATTCCATCTTTGGTTCGTTTGAGGCTAATTCCCTTTGTAATGCTTCAATTTTTATATTAGATTTTTTAATGGAAACATTTGCTTCATTTAGCTTAGTTTTTGCATTATTTAATTGTGCAGAATAACCACCATCAGTACCACCGGTAGATGATATACCAGTCGAAAGAGTTGACAATAGTTCTTCTTTTTTCTTATATGTTTGTTTGTACTCATCCAACTGTATGTTAATCCCTTTGTATTCTTCTTCAATTTTTTCGAACATTTTAGATTTATTTGATAACTCTTGTTTATTTGCTTCTAAATTTTTTCCTTTAGATTTGAGTTTTGATAGAGTATCGCTTAAATTGTCTTCACTTATTTTATATGACGTCTTCAATCTTGATATCTCATTCATCAATTTACTCTCATTTGATTCAAGTTTTGCTAGTTTACCATTTTTATCGAGTTCATTTTTCTTTTGAACCTGAATCTGTTCCAGATCCTCATTTAAACTACCCAATTCATCTGTAACTTTTGTTATCAATTCTTTCAATTCAATTATTCTATTTTCACTGGTTTGAAGGGTTTCTACAACAGATGTTTGCTTTTGTACAAGGTAATTATAATCAAATGCACTCACAACACGATGTGTTTCTTCTAAATCCTTCTGAGTTTCTTGGAATTCAAGGAAAATTCTTTTTTCCGATCTAAGCTTTTCTAATTTGGGTTCAATTTCTTCATTTAACAACGTTCTATTTTCCTGTAATTTTGCTTCTTTTTTACCCATTGTTCTTTCAGCCTTTTCTCTTCTATCTTCAAACATTTTAGTACCTGCTGCCTCTTCAATTAAGGATAATATTTCAGTAGGTTTCATATTTAACACTTTAGTAATTTTACCTTGCATAATTAAAAAATTTGGATTATTAATATTCAATTGAACGGATTGAAAAAGGTGTAATACCGATTGTTGAGGAGCTCTATGACCATTAATCAAATATTTTGAAGTACCACCCAAAGCTACTTGTCTAGTGACAGAAATAGTTGGAGAACTTTCAAACCCAATAGGAGCATTTGATTTATCAGAGTTATCAAATACGATAGTCACACTGGCCTTGGTAACACCTGCCTGGCCTCTTTTATAAATCAAATCCTGTAAATTGGAGGCTCTAACAGTAGCCATTGAAGATATACCTAAAACGAAACATATGGCGTCTAAGATATTTGATTTACCAGAACCGTTTAGACCCGTAATCGCATTAAATTGAGGATCCCAGTCAGAAATAACAGTTCTTGTAGCATAGGATTTGAACCCATCAATAATCAATTCCTCAACTTTCATCGATTAATTTAAGTTAAATTGTTGATATATAAATCTTCCAATTGAGTTATTCCTCAAGGCAAAATGAAAATTTGACCCACCTACAAAATAATTTGAGTAATGTATATTCAGCAATCAATAAACTAAAAGAAAAATAGGTTTCTGAATCCTTCATAAAGTCAAGACTTTCCTCAACTTTAAAGGTGATGAGTTAGTTAATGATCTCTTAAAATCTTGGATCTTTATATAAACAAACAATGTTACATCATAAACCGTTAATCACGTGATAATACATTATATATTTAATGTATCGTCAATAATGATAACTATATGGAGTATAAAAAGGAACGATATAATAGGCGGGTAACCAAAATAATTAGAGATCGAAAAACTGAAAGAAAATTAGCCGCCAACAAAGAATAAACCAGCTTAGTTCATATATTTAAACAGTATCTATACAATAGAATAGATAGTTATTATGTCTAAATCTATTGCAAAATCTACAATAATTTATCTAAGTGGAGCCAATTTTCTTTGTATTAATGTACCTTGCCTTTAAAAGTCTGCTTTTAACTCCTACAAAATAAAGAGAGCAAAAATAATTCTTTTCTTATGGGGAATTGATATATTTACTAATAATTATCCAATATATAATGCATTATATAGGATCAGATGTTGGCTCTATCGATGTTCCGAGGTTTAATCCTAATTAACTTTAGTTCAGTTGAATTGTAGTTTTAAATACCTTAAATTATAGATTATCACAAAAATTACAAGATTACAACGTCTAAAATAATGAATTTATGTCTGACGAAATCTATTAGCTTGAAATTTCAATACAGATGAGTTACATTTGAGAGGAACAATTTATAGTCTCTGAAGCTTGGCTACGAGAAGCAAACGAGAGTTAATTGCTTTTGAACTCCTGTTTCATTTCAATTAACTATTTAAAATATTTCATAAAACGTTTCTCAGTTCTTGGAATTTTAGAATCATTGCAATTAGAACTGTAAACTAATTATTCCATATTTGGTTTCCTCACAAAGAAGAGATAAGATACCTATATTCCAGCTTTTAAGTTCATCTCTAGTTATAAATAAACTTAGAATGCTATGAAAAGATTAAAGCTTGATTGTCTTAATCTTCCATATACTTCTTATTTTTATAAGGCGAACGCATCTTACATATCTGGACCAAAGTGAAAACCATGCACTGGAAACAGGGTTGTAGTTTCACGCTTAACTGCAGTCATGTTTCAATCATAATTGCTGAATTGAAAAACACAGAAATATATATATGATCAATTATGTATTGATTTCAAGCAATATTTATTTAAAAAAATAAGTTTATGAGGAATGCTTACTTTAATATTTATTTAAAATAATTAATTATAAATTTGAAAACCATCTAAGATACAAAAAAGAAAATGTGAAAAAAGTTAATGGAAGATAATAATTATTTTTCAGGTAATCTAATCTTGAGTCTTTTGAGAACCACGTAACAAACCAGTTCTTCTAGCGGCAATCAAACCAGCCTTTTGACCGGCAACAGCACCTCTAGAGATGGTAGAAGCCTTACCAATATGTTGATGGTTACCACCACCGTGAGGGTGATCAACTGGATTCATGGCAACACCACGAGTCTTTGGCCAAGAGTTTCTCTTAACCTTGTACTTGTGGAAAGCACGACCGGCCTTCAACAATGGCTTGTCAACTCTACCACCACCGGCAACAACACCGATGACACCTCTGGCATCAGAAGAGATGATCTTCTTAGCACCAGATGGTAATCTGACTCTGGTCTTGTTTTCATCTGGGTTGTGACCAATGATGATAACGTAGTTACCAGAAGCTCTGGCGATAGCACCTCTGTCACCTGGTCTTTCTTCGACGTTGGAAACAATGGTACCTTCTGGGACGGAACCTAATGGCAAGACGTTACCGACGCTCAAAGTGGCCTTCTTACCAGCGTAAATGAATTGACCGGTGTGGACACCTTCGTTAGCAATGAAGATTTCTTCACGTAACTTGTACTTGTATGGGTCACGGAAGACAACCTTAGCTAATGGAGCACCTCTACCAGCATCGTGGACGATTTGCTTGACAACACCACGAATGTAACCGTGACGTTCAGCGTAATCCAAGGATCTCAACTTGGCAGCACCTTGTCTCAATCTGGTGTGAGAGGTGAAGATAGAACCAGCACCCTTTCTTTGGTTACGAATAACTCTACCTATTTAAACATTAAATTTTTCAAAGAGAAAAAAAAATTATCTGTTAGTAAAAAAACGTCTTTATATTGATTCGAATGATCATAGGAAAATGTATATGCATATATCTGCAATCTTTTAGTTACTATCTCAAATATAGCTTGAAAACAAAACATCAAAACTAATTAATAACAATAATTTTTTTTTTCGAATTTAAGTATCCTCAATTGACTAATTTTAAGTTTATATCCTGTGCTATTCAGAACACATTGTTCTAACAGTTTTGTGAATATCCCACTTATCACATTATTTTAATTACTATTATATTTCCCTCTAATGATACATTCTTGACATACATATATTCCCATCTTTTTCCTGGCAAATTTTTAGTATCCTATTAAAAAAATCCTTCTTTAGTGATCTAGTTTCAATCAGTGTAACTCCAACTCCAGCTGATTAAATATCTAGCTTCTTTGATACTCATATTCTTATACATCCATTGATCATACATTCATAACTATCATAATAACATGTCTATTACATACCCATTGTTTCTTGATGGTTTCTTGAGGGACTGAAATATTAAGTTGCTATCAAACAAGACCAAAAATAAGAACCAGTACTTTTTAAACCAGTTTTCTTTCAATCAATAACTACAATCAATAACTACAATCAAATTAAACTGAGCATTGGCAATCACTACAAGACCAAGAGACCAAGACCCATCATCAATCGAGCTGTGCTAAACTACAATTCACCTAGCATCGACACCGTAATACTCAACGTTGACATGGACATAGACATTGACAATACTACAATAGTAATGTAATGGAATAGTAGCAATGATGATGCTATTGATGATAATAATATTATTCCCAATGTCTGTGGGTATCTGTGTATATTTTCAATATTGTTTATGAATGCTCTACAATTAACCCGCTAAAGGTGAAAAGTTTCACTTGCAACAAATTAAATTTTCAAGAGCGTGTGAGTGAGTCGGTGAGTGAGTGAGTGGGTTCTTTGAAGTGAAAGATGATAACGGTGGTGATAGTATCTATTACTGCAGAGAGGATGAGATAGATAGCAAGAGAAGTTGGAAAAGCAGACTGTTTGGAAGACTGGAGGTAACTCTACAGACACCTTCGGGTACAATCTAGGCTTAGTAGTGAGGGCTTCTTTGCACAGAACAGAGAGATTTCCGAACCTCTCTGCCTAACCTTGCCTAGGTGGCTAGAAGGAGATTAAACAGTTGTTCCGTTCCAAGACCACCCAATTACAATATTTCCAATCTTTGCTTAGGCTTAGCTTCCATCTAGATACAGTCGGTCCTTTCCAGACAGACTGACCTTTCCGGGTTCTTTTGCTAAAGCTCTCTACGTTTACTGATGCCAGATGGTTAACGAAGGTAATTTAGCAAAATTAGTTCAGTATACATTAAGCGATCCTGTATAGGTTTCGCGGGCTGACAAAATATTGATTTCTTTCCTCCAGCGTTTTTTCGTACGTATCCGAAGATTCTCATATTTATTTTTATTTTTGTTACCAGAAAAAACCAAACCGAAATCCTTCGAGGTTTTTTCGTTCGCTTTAAGGAGAAAAAGTTGGGATAATGTACGGATGTACGGTTACTTTTTCAAGTGACTACTATTTATATTTATACGTATCACGTGTGGCTCCTATTCGCCTTGTTGTAATGTATTTCAACAAAAAGTGTCACTGACACTTAAACTATTATTTAAATATTTACCATGTATTCCATTCACTAAAGATATGTTATACATACAGATGTATCTATATATATTTGCAACAACTGATGAAACTAAAATTTATTTGGTTATTATTGGGTAGATTCATAACTTGTTAACTTGATAATTGGTTTATACTATGGTTTTTTTTTTTTGATTTTATAGTTTACTTATTTTCTTTCATTCTTTATTTTATCTAGCCTACCTATTAATGTATATATATTATCTGGATACTCTAATATTATTTCACTATTAATATAGCGTGTATATTACAAACCAGATCGACTTTTGTTTGGATTTTAAAGGTTTATTCTTTTCTTTTCTTTTCTTTTCTTTGTAGGTTTTAATTTGCTCGGACTTTTGTGGAATAGTTTACTCTTAAATATCCTTTATATATCCTATCATTCTTCTGTTTGATTTTATTAGTTTAATTGTTACTCTTTCAATAATTTTACCAAGTTTTAAGTTAGAATACCAAAATGAAAAAAAAAATTAAATGTAAATTGGCAACTTAGTAATTTAAGCTACAACTGAAACTCCTGGCTGAACATTATTAGAATTATCACAATTTTGTTGTGGATTTGAGGGTTCTCCTGCAACACCTGGACCAGCTGGTTGTCCACCGTTACCAGAATTTGGCTTTATTGCTCCTTTATTTGTTTGATTTCTTTCAGCAATACCTGTTTGTTCAGCTATTTTTTTCACCTCTTGGATTTTAGAGATATAAGCTGGTTTAACTGATATCTTCTTGCCTAATATTTTCTTTGTTGAAGTGACTTCCGCAATTTTGGCTATAGTTTCAGGTGAATTTAAAGTTATTAAAGCAGCAGTGTAATGACGATGTAATTGTAAATGCATTGGGCCCTTTGCCGCTCTAGTTCTGAAAATCCAAATTTCTTGTGGATTATAATCCTTAAAATGTTCACGTAGGTCTGCATCTGTAGTATTTTTAGGTAAATATCCACAATATACGGTATCATCAGAAGTTGGTTTTGCTTGCTTGGCATTATTAGCAGCGTTTTCAGGGTCTTCTGATGCTTGTCCCCTTTCTTGTGTTGCTTCTACAGTAGGATCTTGTGAAGCTGCATTATTTTCTTCATCTGCTGGTTTTTTAGATCTTCTCAATTTAGACAATCTTCTTGGCTTTGGGGCTGGTTTACAAACATTTTCTGGGGAAAACGGAACGTAAAGTTTTACTTTTAGATTTCTATTTTTAAAGTTTGTTTCATTTAATGCTTCAACTGCTTCTCTTGCCTTCTCAGGAGTTTCAAAATCAGCATATGCAATACCTAAAGGTTTTACATGATTAGATCTAAACCCTCTAACTGTATGGCTTGGGACTAGTACAGATAAAGGTTTGTAATCCTTTAAATATTCAATAAGTTCATCTTCAGTCGAGGAATAATCTAAATTGCTTATATAAATTCTTGTTGTTAATAGAGCATCGGCTGTAGATTCACGTTCTGGATTATTATCGCTGACTTCTATAGGTTCAGGGTTATTGCTCTGTCTTTCAAACATTTTTATAAGCTACTATTAATTTTTTCGTTTCCAAAGATTTATTTTATATCTCTCTATATGTTTGTATTCTTCTTTTTTTACTTTCAAAAAAAAAAGTATTTAGTGTCACTTATGATTTTTGACTATCTTTGATCCCTTAACGATATTAAAAATGTAAAATTATTGGAATTAGAAAATGAACACTATTTATATTATAGAAAATTAAATTCTATCTTTAAATAAACTGTAAACTAGGATCAGAATCCACAAGAAGCTTCCTTTTCTTATAATTCCTTTATATACCATTAAACAAACTATTAAGTAAATTTCATCTAATAAGAATAACCTTACATGACCTTAATCTTATATAAAAACAAGTTTAAAAAGAGGTTACACAATATCTATCTAATTAATTAACAAATGACACAAAGATTTATTAAGTGTAATGAATAAAATGGGAATATACAACAAGACAGACACTTTCTGGTTTTCAGGGAAAATATATAACCTCGGCATATTTGAGATAGAGGATGTCATATTGCTTATATTATATACATATATTTGCCAGTGTTGAGATGAAGATAGTCAGAAGTTGATTTTATTAACTAAGATAATGAATTGAGATTATATAACATACACGAGATAAGTTATCTAAAATAAATTTAATATATATAATAATATTGTATTATAAAAAAGAATTAATGTTTTATTTTAAATTTAAAATCAAAACAGAATTTCTTAGTTCTTAGCAGCAGCACGCTTGGCAGCTAAAGCTTTAGCAGTACCGTGTAAAGCATGTTTGTGGTTTCTTCTGAATTTTGGATCAACACCCTTCAAAGATGGGTACTTGTAGGTCTTTGGCTTCTTGATACCGTTTCTGTGAGCCTTTTTGGTTTGGTTGTGAGCGGTATGGTTCTTAGATTTAGCCATTTTCTATCACGATAAAAATTAAAAGTAATTAATATGTTAGTATAAGAAAAGCTTGAATGGATTGGATAAAAAAGAATCTCTAGATAACAATGGAATTTTCTGTTCTCTTTACTTTCAATAAGCGGGTCATGGGAATTAAAGTATACCTTTATTAATAAATCTGTGTCTTCCAGCAATCGATTCATATTATTTAGTCAATGCCTTTTGGTGTTCTGTGTTACATCAATTGGGTAAAAATCCATCAGGGATATTCTGATCCATTCTTATATTTCCCCCAATGTACAGGGAGAACCAAGATACTTCGCTATTATTTCCAGATTTAATATATTTATTATATATAAATTCATGCCAAAATATACTTAAAAAGTCTTTCACTATCTTCATTATTAAATTGTTCTTATTCGAAATAACTATATTAAATCGTGTAATAACTTTGAGATCCACAGTTTCATCATCCTGAGTACTAAAATTTATTATCTCCCACTAGTATAGATTGATCAGTTCATTAGATTTCGAAATTCCATCATTTGCATATTATTCTTTCTTAACCATTATTATATGCTAAATATTCCAAATTATACGTACAGTTAATCTTTCAACAGTGTTACGGTGTTCTTGGAAGACAATACAAGAAGAATAACAAGAAATTAAATAAGAGCTTATCACCTTTAATATCAAAGTTCATGATTTTTTAATGTAGTAGTAATAATAATATCATTATCACCAGCGTTAGTTACATTAACCGTAAACCTTTGGAAAGCTGGTCTCAGTGTAGAAAGAGACCAGGAAGTTAGCGATTGAAAACAGAAGAACACAACAAACACTTAGCAAAAACTTAGTTAGTTAGCCAGTTCGAAAGAAAGCGTATGTATGAGAGATAGAGAGAGGTAATTGATTGTGATTGTTATGAAAAAAAAAAGAGAGATATCATGAACCCAAACTAATTCAAACAACCAGAACAAAATGAAGATAGATGATGATAGATGATAGATGGACTATGATGCTCCATGGTTGAGATTCATTATGGTTTGATCAGTTATTGAATAATTAGTGACAATATAGTGATGATAGCAATGCAAAGAGACGTTATTTGACATTGAAAAGTTTCAAATCCAATCAGTTGAGTATAATGCCCGTAGCTAATTGTAGAAATGTAATATTGAAACTTTTCCTAAGCATAGAGATGAAATGAAAAAAACCAATTGTGCGTCGCTTGGGTAGTCCAAAAAACCAATTCAAAAAAAGTACATAAAATTTCCAACTGAATGAGAACGGTTCAGTAGTAAAGGGGCGCAAGAGAAGAGTAGATAGATGGTTTCTGTTTAAGCTGTCTGAAAGAGTACAGTTGTAGTAGTATTAGAAGGATGGGAGGGGTCTGGTCCTCTCTTCCTAGCAGTAGTTATAACAATTGCAGTACTAAACAACTCTGCGTAGGTGTATTAGCATGTGATGTCGAACTTAAGAAACGGTGGTACCACAGCAGAGTATCTTCCTTTTCTTAAGATTACCCCCAGGGATGCCATACAACTTGTATCGTTTTGTAAATTCTACACTCACTAATTTTTTTCTCTCTCTCGAATTTAAGGCAATACCGGAACACAGCAAAAATATATGTAAAATTGAAAACGGTAAGATGTCGTAAATGTCCGGATGTTGTAATTAATGCACGGGTGGTGAAATAGTCACTTAGATTTGGTTTATTTGCAAACGGACTATCATGTGACTGACGGTCCATTATGATTTTATAATCTGTAATCTTCTAAATGGAAAAAGGGAACGCTAGCAGTGTGACACGAAAAGACCTCCCAATTAATAATGTGCTGTAACATGGAAAGTTGTGTCAGTCAGCAAAACACTTTTAACATTACTGTCAGACACAGTTTTAGAAATATTAATGTTATTAACGTTAATATAAAATATATATTAGTAGAATCTTTATACATTCATATTTGGAAATATAGACTGGTAAAATTGAATATGAAATAAATAATATAAACTCAATGTCACTAAAAATATGATTGAGCTCTTTCTTCTTCTTTTGTAATAAAAAACTTGTTCAACCCTTTTGTTTTTTACTTTATTATAGGCATAAATAAATTAGAAGAGTTGACAAATCTTGGAAATCAAATTTAAAATTTTGTTCCCGTAGATATAGTGTTCAAAAGGTGGATGTATATATAAAAGCTTTATTCTTTTTGTAAGGTATTAGACATTGTTAGAATATCCATTCCTCATCTAGTGTGTAGTATGTGAAAGGTGATGATTTATTTAAAAGATAGAAGTTGTGTGTTAAGAATATGGTATAAACAGTGGAAGCTGAAATTTTCTGATAAAAAAATATAAAAACAAACAATTAATCAAATTGGATGGAATAGAAATGTAATAAACTCGAAATAGAAATTTTTTTATTATAAAAAAATATACTGAGAATATGAATAGGTACCTTAATTAATAATAACATCGATGATTAATGACCATAGCATAAAGCTTGTGTAATTTTGGGGATACCTGTTTCATGCTCTCCATATTATTTTTCAAACTGTTCATTCCATTTCCATTTCCATTTCATTTCATTTCAATATATGATTTGTCCATTCCAATCAATAAATTATTCTCTCTTTTATTTATTATCCTCCTATTTCAATTGACTGAACAATCTTGGAGCTGCATAGCTGTCCACATGATGTTGTAAATGGAAGAATTCTTCAACACAATCTTCCTTATATTCCAAATTTTCATAATTTGGATCTTCTTGTTGTTTGGTAACTCTTTCTACACATTCGTGGTAATGGTGGTTCAATCCCTTACCTTCTTCAGTTTCCAAAGCTTCTTGTCTCAAAGCGTCTAATTGATCTTGAGCTTCTTCTTCTTCTTCATCTTCATCTTCATCTTCATCATCATCGTCTTCTTCTTCACCAGCATCTTCTACGTCATCTTCTGCCTTAGCAACAGTTGGTACAAATGATTCCTTTAATTCTTCTAGATATTCAGTAATTGTAGATAGCATTTTGTATGTTGTATTTTGTATATTAATTTCTTAATTCCCTTGGTATAGAATCAATTTAGTAATTGAGTTAACAAAAATCAGAGTAAATAGAAATCAGAGTAAATAGAAATCAGAGTAAATAGAAATCAGCTTATTAACTTGTAAACCATAAGATACAATTTTAAATCTCAAAACTTAAGTTTATTGAAATCATAAAATTCAATCTTTTATTATATTATTATAGTCTAGTCAATTATTGCAATAGAAATTATATCGGTTTACTATTCGATACATTTTTTCGTCTTTTTCCTTGTCCTTCCCTCCCATTCTCCCCATGGTATTACCCGGACTGTCTCCCTGTAAATTAATTTGATTGGTGCACTTGTAGTTGGAGAGGGTAACAGAAGTATTGATTACATGATATATTGTGTGATCACGTGCTTCATTTTTTTGAATTAAAGCTTGGTGTCTCTACCATTAATAACTTGTATACAAGGTGTGACGTCAGAGTGCAATCTTGCTTTGTTAATATTATATTTGTTAATGTTATATTTGTATTATAGGTTATTGTTACATATTATTTAATGATACACTCATAATATTATTAGGAATTGTAATATAGGACAATAATAAAAAAAATTCTAATGTTAAAATAATATAAAATAAACTAAAACACACGAAGCCTGCTATTACATTTTCTCTTTTGGAAGATGTAGTTGTTTTCATTTACATATACTTTTTTAGAACAAATTCTCTAATTAGTTCAGATTATTCTAGAACATTTAGTGTCCTTTAGTAGGATAAACAATGTTTTTATTTCTTCCCTTGTTTTATAGTTACATATCAGATATCAGAATCACAAAAAGAAAATAGCAATAGTAATTATAATAGTGATAGTGATAGTTATAATAATAATCATATTCATATTAAAAAAAAAACATAAATAGAAACACATGTATGCTATTCTTTATCTGAAAAGTCAAATAATTAGTGTTATTTTACTTTCTTGCCTACTTTATCATTCATTTCTTGATCTTAGTTTTCTTATCCTCCTTCTCTATCTGCAAGTAATTGCCTGATATACTTACATGCCAATTCAACCGTAGTAGCTTTTGAGGGTATTTCCACAGTATCTCTTAGTTCTTTAGGTATTAATAATTTTAAATCATTCAATGCATTATTCAACCTATTACGGCGTCCTTGCTCAGCAACTTTATGGACATTCTTTTTAATAATATCTTCTTCCTCTTTTGTTTTCACTTTGGTTAATCCATTCTCATTATCTACAAATGCATCTTCACTTTCAAATTCATTAGATAAAGAGCCCTTATGACCTTTCTTATCTGCACTAATAGTGGAAATATTTGAACTACTTGAACTACCACTAATAGTAGAATTGCGATTATTTATATTACCTTTGATGTTGTTGATATCAGTTTTAGTTTGAGATAGCTTTCTAGTTTTCCAATTTGTAATGTGTGACGCCCTTGGTCTAATTACTGGCGATTCGGTGGCCCTTAAAACTTTACCAGTTCCGGAGTCATTTCTCATATTGTCGTCATTATCATTAGCATTTTCATCATTCAAATCATGCTTAGATAAACGATTTGATATTGGATAGTCAATGATTTCTTGACCTGGTATATCTATGTTACTTCTAATATGATTACCATTGCTATTAATATCATTTTTATAATTGTTATTGTCATCATGTTTGTTTTCTTTTAAACCGTCTTCTTGTGAATTGTTAGAATGCGATGGTAATATTACTTTTGGATAGTCCGCTACTAAACTAGTTGGTTTCATTGAATTTTCGACTTTGAGGTCCAAGAAATCTGTATTATCATTGCCGATACTACTGTCAGGTAATTTAAATAAGAAATCTTCCCAACCATTAGCATTTTCCGTACTGTTCCCATTATCTAAATTTTCCTTGACTGTATTATTTCTCAATTGTTCGACATAAGAACGTCTTGAATTTGATGTAGAATTCATTCCACTAATACGAGGACTGCTTTTAACTACCTTGCCTGAAGATAATGGAGTCATCGCTGGGGAAGTCAATGGAGAAAAGTTACCATTGCTATGCTTTCGCCTTATGCCAGTAGCCCCACTATTCTTTCTGTTATTAGCACGTAAAAATGGAGTATTAGCGTTCATATCGACTAATCCACTATTTGCATTATATGAAGAAGATCTTGGAGCCATTGGGTTCATATAAGGTGATACATGTAGCGACTGGTTATTATTTGTAGAGTTACCATTGGCTTGGTTTGGTATAATTACTGGGGAAAAGATCATATCGTTAGTGATATAACCTACATCTTGGTTGTTTTTATTAACATGCTCGTGATTTAACAAATTGTATTCATTTGAGTCTAAGTATACGTTGGTAGTTTCCTTTGGACTCCAAGACTTTGCCTTTATTGACTCCGAACCAGAGCCAGAACCAGATACGTAGCCTGGACCACTCCCAGGAATAGTCATATGATTGTGGTGATGATGGTGCTGTTGCTGCTGCTGATGGAGATTATTATTATTGTTATTTCTGTTGCTATTATTTCCTGAGTCATTAAAAGTATTTGCTACAATACTGTCGTTCTTTTCGTAGGAATCATTAATTATTTCATCATCATGAGGGGTTGCAGTATGACTTGACCTATCTCCATTAGTATCATGTGTGACATGGCTAATATTACTACTGTGCTTGAAATGAGCTTCTTGTAGATAAGCATCTACTTGATCCAGAATACTTTGAGAAGTAGCCTCGATATCGAACATTAATTCTTGTGATTGCTTTGAAGTCATCCTAAATTTCTGTAAAACAGATCCTAATACAAGACCAAAGTAAAGATAGATGAACCCAACTTAAAATATCAGAAATACCCTTTGTATTTATTATAATATGCTGTTTTCAAACTGGCAATGGAAGTGTATTAAAATTATTCAAAATTTAACTGAAATAAAATAAAATCGTAATAGATACCCTTTTCAGCTTTAACCTTTGTGTTGAATAAAAATCAATAAAAGGATATATTTGCTTCCTAATATGAACATATATATATATATATATATGTATGTATGTGTGTGTGAAACTTAAATATTACCAAAACTTCTAATAACGAATGTGTCAATCGTTTATAGTTTTCAAAGTATCTTCAGAGTCTTCTAAAATAATGATAATGACTATTATTTTGTACTTGTTCCTTCTCTCTTGATTAGTCTTTAGGATTTTTTTTTTCAAATAATTTAAATCAATCACACCATTAAAAAATAGAAATACCATGAAACACTTTGACTACTGCAAGGAACAAAGGCATTAAGTCCAACAAGATCACAAGATTGATCAAATCTATCTACTGTTTTTACAAACAAGGAAACTAATCGAATGAAGAGGGACCATCAAACGGTTAAAGTAACTTATTGTTTGGATTCTTCTGCATGATGCAATGGGGTTATGAATGCAACTTTAATTTGGACAAAATTAAAAGTTTTCTAATGTGATTTCTATAATTAATTACATACCTACATAAAACGTAACAACAAACGAAGTCAAGTTAATCGTTGATTGTTCAACATTGATCGATTAATTGATCGATTGATTGATTCGTTGTCCTTATAGCACAGACATCATCAACGTTGGCTATAGCATTAGCATTAGCATTAGCATTAGCATTAGCATTAGCATTAGCCTCAATGGCAATATTTACTTACATACACTCTCTTAAACTACAAGTAAAAGTTAATACTATAAAATATAAATTAAAGTTTGCTAAATGGTGCCACTTTTGTTTTAGAATTGTTATCATTTAGGAAACTGTAAGATGAAGATACCAATAGAAACTATATATGAAGCTATTTATTGTTGGCTATTGGTTAGTTTGATCGTTAAGGTTAATTTGAAATGAGTCCATACTGTTTATTTTTGACTCCTTCAAGAGTCATCTTTAAATAAGAATCATTTATTTATAAAGCACTATTATAGAAAGGTTGACTTATTTATAGTTTGGTTGTTTGGTTGCATGCTTGCTTGTTTGTTTATAAATAGAGTAAATGTTATGGCGATTGTACAATCAGAGGGAGGGGAGGGATGGTACAACTATTCGAAATCTTCTACTCTATTCTATCTCTTGTATATATATTATTTATATTTATAATTGCATATGTATATACAAATATAGTTCCAAATATATATGTATACCTCTCGAATTGTCTTAAACTGTAAATATCGTTCTTTGCAGCAATTTCGAAAGGAACGTTTCTTGCTTTGTATTGTTCAATTGGTGGTTTTTTCCTCTTTGATGCGTATGTATATATAGATCTCTGTTCTCTTGTGATCTTGAATTAGAAATGCAACTTATTATACTGTTTTAGCGACGATGACGATGATGAGGTTTAGATCTGCCTTTGCTAGATCTCTTATCAACACCGTTCACACGTGCGATTTCTTGAGATGATATAACTAATCCGTTTCTTGTCGACCTACCTATACTGTTCACTTTTAATCCACGTTTTCTCTTGGTGTTCCTAATTTCATCTTTCTTCTTTATACTGGTACCGATTCTTCTTTCGATATCTCTTTTATAAGTATGCTCTATTTTCCTAAATTGTCCCTTTTTCACTTTTGATAATACAATCCCACCATCTGCAGCTTCCTGTTCATATTTCTCAATTCTTTTAATATGTTTGTTAACCATCCCTTTTCTAGTTTGTATTGGCATTTTCTCTAATCTATTGATTTTTTTATCATGTCCATTGATCTTTGATAATCTATTTAATCTCATTTCTAATGTACGTGCTCTTGCTTTCCCCATAACAACATCATCCTGATATGCAATGCTATCGTTATTCATACTCTGCAAAGTTAAACTTGCACCACTTTCTGATTTGCTATTTGCTGAATTCAACGATGCCAATAGATGTGATTCTCTTAAGAACTGTTGCAATTCTAAATCATTTTGCAAATTCTCTCGTTCTAAATTCTCATCTTCATCACTATCATTCTGTTCATCATCATTGTTAGAATTTGAAGTTGTGTGTTTTAAAGTTTTACCACTTCTCAACATCTTTTGTTCCTTTTTACTTGGTACAACGAAAATATCACTAGGTCCATTAAATTTGATTACTTTAGGACCAGATTCTACAGCATTCTTGCTCTTCTTATTAATATCATTCTGTTCATTATCACTAGAATCAGAAAATCCTGAAAATTGATCATCACTTCCATTTTCATATTCACTTCCACTTCCACTTTGTTCTTCTTCTTGTTCCTGCTCACTCTCATCTTCACTCTCACTCTCTTCATTCAATTCTTTGGTCTTGTCTTCAAATCCCATATCCTCCAAAGAACCAAACTGGGCTTCAAATGCCTTACGTTGCATTTCCATCATCTTTGCGTAAGCAGCTTCATCAGTTTCGCTATTTTCCTTTGGATCATTAATTGACGACGACATCTTTATCCAATAAATATAGCAGTCTCTTTGGATATTTTCTCACTTTACAATTCTTCTAGACTAGGACACTACTAATAACAAACTCTAGAAACCAAGATCAATGCAATTATCTAGGTCTTTATAAACTTCTACTACTGTGTATCTTAAATCTTTCCTTTAAACAACTTGAGATGAGATGAGATGAGATGAGATGAGCCTTTCTTATAACCGTTGTTGAAACTTTTTCCATTATTAGCTTCTCTCTTGCAGTATTGATCACATGACCACAAATATTGTAGAAATGTCAATAAATCACGTGATATTAAGTGTATTTGAAAGTCACGTGATTAAACTTGAATATCAATAAATTGATCATCATTGACGTCATATATATTGGAATCTGTAAGATTTGAAATATTTAAAGAGGTCCATATAATTCTGATCCCAATACCCTTAAGATAAAGGAACAAACGGATCTGAATGCTTCTTTATTTCTCAATTGCTTTTAAGATGGACGTTTCGTTTATCAGTTCAAGTCATGACTAAATTTGTAGGCTGCATTGACCTTCATAATGGTGAAGTGAAACAAATTGTAGGTGGTACTTTAACAGACAATTCTAATGAGTCACCAAAGACTAATTTCATTTCGAACCATCCTTCTTCATATTTCGCCAAATTATACAAGGACAACGATATAGAAGGATGCCATGTAATTAAGTTAGGTCCAAACAACGATACAGCTGCATTGGAA